GCTGAAGTAGAAATAAAAGCCTTTGTACCATTCAGTTAATAACAGCAATATACTTTCATACCAAGCTATTTAGACGGGAGAAGAATAAATCTACTTGACACGTAGTCCTAATTTTATCGAGAGGGCTCGCTGCCTGTCAGTTCTGTAGCTGAAACATTATTTAGGTCAGTCGCAGCTCAAAGTGTGTGTGGGCACACTTGCTTCCATAACTTGCCCATGCAGCGTTTGAGAGTGGGAGCGAGGGACAATGTCTGTGGTACTGAGGGTGTGAGATTATAGATATGTGTCCAGCGCGCTTGTTAAACCCATAGCGTGCGCTTCAGCAGAATATTTTCAATGCATCACTTTATTTGCAGTGCTAATATTTTTTTTTTTAGCGTTCCCAGTCTTATTACAAAAAAACTGATGATGCCAAACCATCATACGTGGGTAGGGGGCGAGAAAATCCATCATTATTACAATCAGTAAAAATGTTGTAAATGTTATGTAATAGGACTTTAAAGTTGAAAAATGCCACAGCTGGTGTTTCTTTGATCGCATCCATTATTTTCTGCATCAACTCCTCAGAGTGCATCATTGAGGCTTTGACACGTGCACTTTCATGGCATTTTGTGCAACAAGACTTTAAAGATGCTGTCTGTGATTCTGGATTAGTATTGTTGTAATGTATTCAACGTATTTGCAGGATTGTACCATCACTCTTGCTACCTCCGTCCCTTGTGCATGAACGTGCTTGAGGACAGGACGCACTGCTACAGTTCTGTGGATCAGACTGACCTACTGTGTTTCCCATTTATAGAGTCAAATACGAACACTGGACTGTTTTTTTTAGCACATGCAAAAAACGGACAGCTCCAGATGATGTAATACTCATTGAATCGGATGAGGATAACATATGGCACTTCTAGTTCGTTCATCAAACTGTAAATCAGCACTTATGTCATGATAACCAGCCATCAACTACGATAGCCGAGCACAAGCTTTGAATTAAAAAAACATTAAAACTTTTGCTTGAAATTGGCCGCTGAAGCTTTGGACTGCATAGTGAGTTTTAAATGGTAGACATTTTGTTTACATCTGGATCAGGCATCGATTTCACAGCTCACATTGACCAACAGGTGTGTAGGATAAGACCTTGTCAAGTTGGCACCAGTCAAGCAAATGTTGCACCACATACAAGGGTCAGAGATGTTTTGGTCCTGGCACAAAAGAGATTCTTGCCCTTAAACACCCTCAGTGAACTAATATTACTCCTGGATCCTGGAAGACCTTCACTGGTACACAAGGGCCATAATATATTCACCTGCATTAGTCTTTTAAGCTTTTTCTGCTAATCTATAAACACATTCAAATCACTCTCAAGACATGTGCCAGACTTCGTCCTCACCTTTCCACGGTGGCGACCGGTGAGCAGAATGAGGACCGTTCCTGGTGTGATGGTGGCGCGCAGGTTCCTCTTGTGCTGACAGAAGGGCTTCTTGCCGTGGTTCTTCAGTTTACGAGGAACATCCTCTGTGGGGTAGTAACGGGGCTAAACGAGAAAAACGTAAAGATATACGTTAAGATTTCAACTCAATGGTCCAATGGCGGACATTTACTTACAAAACATGAAGACTCTTTTCATAAATAATGACAATATTTAAAAGAATTTGACAGGACTGTATCAGCTGACATGATAAGTTGGTAACTAACAGATGAGGCCTGCAATAAAAGCTCCTCGTGTAACCTGTGTTCTAAAAGAAGAACCTCAATAGTACTGTATGGTGGAGCTGTTACCCCTTTGTCAGGTATGCTCAGGATTTTCTCACATTTTATGGAATTCTACTTCTCCTATTATGGTGACATTCCCTGACACTGTTGTTAATGGCATAAAATAAACCTGTACGGTAAATCCATGTAAACATTACTCACCATCTTGCGCAGCTTAACAACACGAGTTCCTCCATTCTTGTCTCCACCAACAGTCTTGACAACTGTGGCCTTGGGTTTCTCTTTAAGCCTTTTCTCCACCTGAAATGGGAGAAATTTTTAATTTCCCCCCCACAAAACATGATACAATGGAGAAGTGTATCGTGCATTTTATCATTCATTTTGTAGCGCGTCACGGGCCTCACCTTGGTCTCAGTGGTCTTGGTTTTCCTCTTGTACATGGCCCGACGGGCGAACATAGCGGACCGGGAGTAGCGGCCGATGCCCCGGGCCAGCTTCGGGTTCCGGCTCCCGTGCTTCTTCTTGGCAGATTTCTTGTCTCCCTCTGCCATCTGATACAACACAAAACAGGTTTGTTAATGTATCGATTGCAGCAGCGTGTTCAAATCAAAACTGCAGTATGCAACAATGCCTTTAGCAAACTTCTAAAAGGTGTAATTTATGATATACATTGCAGCACATAAAACTGGGGGTTTGAACTGTTATACGACTACAGCTACAAAACAAACTGTCCTCCTAAAATGATTTTCAGGCTTTTAAAGGCATCTCAGGTGTTTGAGGTCCAGCATGTTTCAATGAATTAAGAAATCAAATCACAATTAAATCGTAGTATCTGTCAGAAACTTTCAATCAAACATTCCCCCAGATTTTTCAGCCCTAAATATGACAAGACTATTTGCTGTGGTGTAATCATTCTTCCAGCTTTGGTTAGAGGCTGATCAACAACAGTAAAACACTGACACCAAGTTTAACAGACTAACACTGACTCAAGGACAGTTTCAATTACACGATGCTGCTAGTAGAGCTACACAAAACACTGGAAGGCTGCAACAATACACTAACACTCTGGAAACCACTGTTAAATTAATGTGGTTGATTGCTAACAAAACGACATCGTCAATGCAGAAGAAGCATGACAAGCGTCGTTAGCTAGCAGTTAGCAACAGAGCTCAGCAGAGTTGCTTTACTGGCCAACAAGTCACTTCCTTAAGACAATTTCATGTTTTAAAGAAGGCTCAAGTATGTGACAACATAACGGTATGTAAAAACAACACGTAATATGAATGACGGACAGCACGTTTCTCAACGTTTAGCACCCCAGCTAACGCTACAGCTAGTATGGACGCTAGCCGGCGGCCTACAATCTCCGACACACCAAACTGCTCATTATTACAGAAACCTGACTGGTAAATCATCGTAATAACGACGCCAAACGCATCGTCTAAGTACGCGGATTCGACTCGTGATATTTGAAAACTGTAGTTTTTATTCTGTAACACAGATGAAAGCAGATTTTTATTCCTACAGTAACACGAAGGCAAGGCTGTCTTACCTTTGCTATGAAAAAAGACCGACATCCGGGCACGTGACGTTTATATACAGTCCAGGAATAACGTCATTACGTAGGCTGGAATGTTACGTGATGGTCTTTGTAGTCCTAAAAGTATTCCTCGATTCAATTCAAATTTAATTCAGTATGCTTTACTGGTATTATTATCAAGTTAACAATATTGCCAAAGCATTAAGAATGGAGTAATTTTTAAAAAATGAGGTGAGGGAATTAAAGAAGGAAAAAAAAGGGGGAAACAAGAAAAAAAATGTCTTGTGTGTGTGTGTTTTCTATATTTATAGTAGGGTTTGTCAAGATAATTGTCATATTCGGTGTTCTGGTCCATTAATTGTGATCATATATTGTGCAGCTAGTTTTGCTGTTTGTCTCCCTCCTGAGACTACCTATTGTCTTTCTTTGTCCTTTAGCTCTTTGATGAAGTTTGGGATTAAGAAGACAACATTTTTGACGTATTAATGTTTTATATCATTATGTTTGTCACATTTTAAACAGAATTGGATTTATATAGTGCAGTGACCAAATACTATTTGTTTCTGGTAGTTACCACAGCTTTCTCTCTGGTTAGACTGTTGATGTTTTACTTTTGATTTTTAATGTGAACCTGTAGACATGCAGGACCTTTATGGGATACTTGTCCTGTCTGGTGTTGTCCTGAAGACTAAGTGGACCTCAGACTTCACTACCATAGAGGGCGGTTGGTTGGATTACACTGTCAGATATTTTAGACTAAATTCTAATTGGTATCCATCCATTATCTATACACTACTTTATCCTCTGTTGGGTCGTTGGGGCTGGAGTCTACACCAGCTGACTTAAGGCGGAGGCAGGGTACATCCTGGACAGGTCGCCAGTCCATTGCAGGGCCTAACTGGTATTTCTATTCTGTAAAACTTTCTTCTAATTGCATTAAAAGCTGTACATGCTTTTTATTTTAGTGCCTTCACTGCCAGGCCACATTCACCTGTAGCACTGATTCTGAGCTGAAGAACTAGAACTAGATGTTTTCTATTTTCTTCTTTATTCTAACTATAAGCTAAAAATAAAATCTACCTACTGTATGGAATGACTTGAAGGGCTGCTTATTTATTGCTGCTTTAGCAAACAGTTGCATTTCTCCAAGTGCAGATTATTTTTTTTATCCACAATGAACTGATTGTACAGAGCTTGTTTTTCTTTAAGGAAAAATCATTTTCATAAATAAACAACAACAATCAATTATTCTAACTTGGGGCCTTTTTTACAAGAAATAAATAAATAAACACTAACAACTGTTAAAAGGGATTTGTCTGGATGATATTGTAAAGCAAATTGTATTTTTTCTTTATATTTCCGCTATAACTAACACAGTGATTACACATTTTTGTCCACCAACACCTACGTTCTTACTTGTTCAACAAACCTGTCGTGAATAAAAAATCCTGCAAACATCAAATTTAGCGATCCTCTCTTTATTTATTTGCTACCAGTTTTTATTAACAAAACAATAATAAAGGGTAAAAGAATAAAGGTCCCTTTACTAGCTAACTGATAATCTTTTTAATAAAGAAATAAAATCATAATTTGCTTTAAAATGAACATATGTTAGAATAAAAACTACAATTACGACTAAAATAGGACCTACTGATGGCTGACTGTTAAACCTTAATTTCCTGCTGAACAAGCAGAAAAGCTTCAGTCATTGTCAAAGACCGATTATGAAAACTTCAAAAACAGAACTTCACTTCTCTTCTTGAAGATTTTATTTGAGGTTCTTCAAAAGTACAAAACTGATTGTTACTGGAGTCACCGCACCATATTATCTGGCCACACGAAATTGTGATGATGGAGTGACAGAGCATTATAAGGCGAACATCACAGTTCTAACAAACCTTACTCCAAACCAAAGTCCACTGCATTTAATTATACACTACACATGTTAACATGACCAAAGAACCAAGCACTGGATTAGGCACATTAACAAACAGACTCTTGCACCTTTATGAAATGAGCACAGAAGTGTAGGCCAGCTAGCTTTGTGTCTTCACAGGGCTCCCAAGGCAACACTGAGCGGAAACGTTTATTGTAAATTTTTGTTTAAATTAAGTGAAAGTCGTAGCAAAAAGCAGAAAACAGGTGAGTTTAGTTTGGTGCCAGGGGAACACCTGAGCAGCAGCGCCTCGTGTTAAAAGAGCATTTGTTCTAAGTCCGTTTGTATTTTTATAAATCACTGTTTTAGAGAGAATCAGCTGTTTTCTGTGAGTGGACGGTGTGTGTGCAGGACGTTCTTCTGCAGGAACTCGTCTGATACTGGCGGCTTCTTAAATCAGCAGGATTCGAGGATGATGGCGATGCCCTGACCACCGCCGATGCAGGCAGATCCAACGGCGTATTTGCCTCCTCGTCGCCTGCCAGAGACAAAGTTCATTATTCAATGCTGCTCCTTTAAATGTGCAGACATCTCCCTGCCATACAATCTGCTGTATGTATAATTACTAACGACCGGGCTACCTGAGCTCATGCACCAGGTGAGCAGTGATGCGTGCTCCTGAAGCACCGAGAGGATGTCCGATGGCGATAGCTCCCCCGTTTACGTTGCTCTTCTCTGGGTTGAGTCCAAGCGCCTTGGCAACAGACAGGTACTGAGGAGCAAAGGCCTCGTTCACCTGCGCAGAGCGACAGACGTCGACACAGCTGAGTGTTTACCTCCAAAATGAGCCACAAATAGAGCAATGCTTTTGTGTTGACTGCAGATTTCACAGTTTGCTAAAATCGTTCCTGTTGCCGATGAGTTCATGTCTAATAATATTCTGAATAATTATTTTTAGATTTACGGTATTCAATTAGATGAGGAACATGTGGGAGCAATGGAGGGGGTGGGACAGAGGGTCTTTGTTCAAACACGAAGGAAAATGTGTAGATGGAAGACAGATACAGTCTTTGACAAATCAGCCAAATGAAGCCCCATGAAGGTGGAACAGTGAAAACCAGAAATGAAAAACAACAGGTCATGACAACTTATAGGATGGACTCAGCCTCAGCCTTCAGGTTTGAAAAGTGATGCCAATCAGGAAGCACATTTACTGATAATACATCTCCACATTCACTACAGGAACATTCTGGGCTTTTCCTTGTAGTGGAATATTTAGAGATTGTTGTTTCAGTACTTTCACTTGTTAAATAAAGGATCTTGTACTTGTTTCACTGTGTGTGGACGACATAAAATGAGCCTCCAACCCTTTCACTGGTAACAAACCTCCACCAGATCCATGTCGCTGATAGTCAGACCGGCCTTCTTGAGAGCTTCTGTGATTGCTGGAACAGGACCTGTGATGGTGAAAGAAAACCAGTCGTTCTTATTTTAAGAAACTTTGTCAAAGTGTATTTAATCATTCAGTCCTTTAATCATTTAAAGGGGTTGAATGACACGTCCTTAACGGCGGTGTCGCTCACCGATTCCCATAATGCTCGGGTCACAGCCGGATACATGATAGGCCACGATTCTGGCCAGCGGAGTGAGCTTGTGTTCCTTCACCGCATCCTCGCTCGCGATCACGACGGCAGCAGCACCGTCAGATACACCCTGAAGACCGAAAAGGGAGGCATATTTAGTGATAGAAGGCGACTTCTCATGGTGTTTCCTGTCCTTTAACTCAAAGAATGGAAGGCTAGAAGACAATACCATGAGTTATAACTTGGACACAACACACGGTCATATCTCACAAAGATCTAAAATACCCCCCTCTCCTCAAACCAGTGAGCAATTTGTACATTTCGTGTTTCCACATTAGAGCAATTTAACATTTTTAGGATATGATTTTGAATATTTCCTATTGGATGAAGTAAACTAGAAGCTTTGTTTGACGTTCCTTAAATTCATTTTAATTAAACTATATTAATAAAGCACTAATTCACAACCAGAGACGGACAAAACAGGTTTTCTGGAGCAGACTGAGAACAGAAAAAGAATACACTATTACACTCAAATAATAAAGAACTGGATCCCCTCAGACCCTGAAGAAGAAGCAGCATCTTAGATATAAACTCACTGAGGCATTAGCGGCAGTAACGGTTCCTCCCTTCTTGAAGACAGGAGGCAGTTTGGCCATCTGTTCCAGTGTGGTCTGAGGCCGAGGGTGTTCATCCTGAGCCATGGACACTTTGCCTTTCTTAGCTTTCACATCAATGGGAGCGATTTCTGCCGTATAGTGACCGCCCTCGTGAGCTGTAAACAGAAAAAGTGAGATTTCAACCATTAAGAATAACTTTGTGTTGAGCAGCAACTTCTTGTAGCCAGCCTCTTCATGTGTTAATGTCACTATGTGTAAGCGAGGAGAGACCATGACAAGACATCAACAACCTGAGGTCCGCCTCACCTGCCTTCCACCTTTGCTGCGTCTGGTGTGCGTAGTTGTCACAGTCTTCTCGTGTGATCTGGTATTTCTCGGCCAGGTTTTCTGCTGTGATGCCCATCGGGATTTTGACATGCAGGTCAGTCAGACCGGCCCACAGCGTGTCCTCCAGCTGTCAGGCAGACAAGAACAGGTTTTATCTTTGTGTTGGAGTTTATAGTATAACAACAAGATAATCTGTATGGACATCACATGGCGAGCTGTGTATTTATATCAAGTGCTGAGAAAAGAGAAGAAAAAAAAAACAAAGCCAACCTTGAGATCGAATCCAAACTTTGTACCGAAGCGTACGTTGCGAACAGCGTACGGGGCCTGGCTCATACTCTCTGAACCTCCGCACAGGACCACCTCCGACTCCTTGAGACAAATCTCCTGCAAACACACACGTTTTGTGTGAAATATAATACTTTTACAAATGTATGGAGCATGTTTTTGTGATCAAGTTTGATTCTTATAAACTCACTCTTTTTTTAGAAACACATCAGTCATACCATAACGTTGATCTTTACCGAGCTCAAAATGTTTTTGGTGATGGTATCAGAAATAAAGTGTAAATTCAGTTATACTGTATGTTACAGGTGAACGACATTATATGAAAACATGTTTCTAATTGTTGTCCTTCACACTTACAAGCATGATGTGGGCAGAATATTAAAAACATTGTTCAAAATAATACAACACAACGCCATCACCAACTAACATCCATGACAGTCAGACCCAACATTATAGATAAAAGCAGGCTTTATGAGAGGACAGCTGTATCAGATGAGTACCTGAGAGACAACAATACTATTTTTATTCCACACTTGTGTTCCTGCCAGAATGCGTTTTGTTCCTGGTGGAGTTACTTGACTTACTTGAGCACCATTGATGATGGACTGGAAACCAGATCCACACAGTCTGTTGACGGTGAGTGCAGGCACTGGGATGGGAACGCCACACCTCAGACCCACATGACGAGCAATGTAGGGTGCATCGGCTGAGCTCTGAAAGTAGGGGGGTGGATGAAGAGGAATGAAAATGGAGCAAGCAGAGGACGCCAGTCAGAGCCAAAGCAAGCTTCCGCGCTCTGTTTTTCACACAGCGGTCCTCATGATCTGCTGGATAGGAGTGTTGATCTCAAGTACCTGCATGACATTTCCCATGATGACGCTGTTCACAAGCTCTGGTGCCACGCCTCCTGCAGCGAGGGCAGCTTTGGCCGCATGCTCAGCCAAATCTGTTGCACTGTGATCCTTCAACACGCCACCATAGGTACCGAATGGAGTGCGCTTGGCACCTACAACAAATACACCTATAGAGGAAAAAGGAGCATTTTAGTACAAAGAGGTAACAGCACTGAGCTACAGCTAGATCATAACGGTGAGCACACAAAAAAAGAAAAGATTAGTGATGGGGCAATCATTACATTTACATAAATAACTGGATTTACTGGGGTGGTACATTCTGCAGAGATGATGGACAGAGTCGGTGCATTAAGTCGCAAAAGATAGAAAAACATAGGGGAGCATCAGATGCATGAAGTTGGACTAGAGGAAAAAGAAAGGCAACAACATCTGGAAACTCAAAGTAGAATATAGATATGAAATATAAAAATAATTGAAATAATAAATATAAAAATATATCTGTTGATTAAAGAGCTGCCTCCACATTAAATACACTTATGCAGTGAAAAACATGTGACTAATGTTTTCATTGGCCAGTTGAATGTGTTGGTTAAAATGTCCTGAACTGTTGCGCCTTCTTTGAAAAGAAAAACTGCACACAAGGCACATAAAAAGTGTAAATCATTTACAACAGAAAAAAAAATCCACTAAAACATATTTCCCTCAAGTCTCAGGAAGACACACATTACAGTCAGCAGAGTGAACACATCTCATATATTATTTATGCACAGTCCTCATTACCCAGTTAGGGCGGTTAACTTTATCTCCTCCAGAGGTGCCAAGAACTGATCTGAAAAACGGCATGTTTCATCTGTAGTTTGGGTGATGAAAATTACTTCACTGATGCACAGTCCTTCTAAAAAAACAAGAACTTATCTAAAATGTATGATCTCTATCTTGAAAGCCTCTGTCTAAATGCCTTCTAGCTTCATTTCTGACACTGAACTATTGATTGACTGGCCAGAAGGTACACGATGCCTTGACCTGTCATTGGATTTGCAATGTACAGGGTGTTTGTTTTGGATCTGACGAGCATCACAGCAACACCAGATTTGTACTGACGAAGTGTGTTTACAGTTGTGTAATATGTCCTATTTTTTTTAGACTCTGAATGTGGAAGATGCACTAAAATACAAAATGGGCCAAAACCAACAGGGACCAAATAAGAGAGGAGTGGAGAGATCTGTGAAGGGATGATCGAGTCTATTACAAAATTTATGACGTCTGTTTTAACAAATATTTACTTTTCAAGCTTTATTTTTTTCATTGGCTTGTTATAAATGCAATGTTCCTACAGCATATGAAGTGGTTTATTTGTGCTGCAACTTGACCAGTCACAAATGCAATAATGTAAAATGGACTCCTCTGCATAATACTTTTTATAATATATCATGTAATTAGGCTTAACTTCGGGAGTGCTGCTGCCAGAAAGCTAATTGCACCTTTGTTTGATTTCTGTTCCTATGTCCTGTTTTTGAAATAATGATACAGGGCAGAAACTTAAACAATGCACAGGCTGTATACATACAGCGTAGGCAGATATTTGAAAAGAGTGAAGTACAATCATAAAATAGGAATAGGAGTTGAACTGCAGCGATTATTCAATTAGGTGACCTGTTAAATTATTGTCAGCAACTTTCAAAATCTATTTATCAATGTGAGTAATTTTTTTAACAAAACAAAATCAAAATCCTTTGATTTTGGCTTTTTAAATTTGAATATTTTCTGGTTTATTTACTCCTTTACAATCATAAACTGAATATATTTGGGTTGGACATCTAAGGTGATCATCTTGGGCTTTGGGGAAAGACTGATTCTGATTAATCAAGAGAGCAATCCAGGGATTAATCAACAATGAAATCAGCTGCTAGTTGCTGCCCTGCATCAGAGTTTTTTATGGTGGCGAAATAACGTCCTTTATGTAAGTGGTCATATAATCAAACACAGATATAAAACAGTTCCAGGTTTGCATTTGTGTCAAAGCTCTCCATCTACCTGATTTAAATGACAAAATACAACATCATACAGAGAAAAACACATCTCACTACAAAGTCAGATATAAGATTGAAATCATAATGAAATCACAAACAATCACAGCTGGATATATTTACAGCAACAAAACAAGTAAGTAAACTAAATTTTTAGGTGGGCCCAGCAAAAAACAGCTCCTCAAAGTTGTTGAATGTCCAGATAAAATGGGTAATTGATGCATTATTTATGAATGAAAACCTTTCCCACAGAATGAAGCCGACGTGCAGGTGTTGATGTTCTTGGCACCATCTTGTCACCTTTAGCCTATATTGAGGTAACATTATGTGCAAACTCTCCTGACACGTCAATTTCAAAAGAGTCGACTTTAAATTGATGCCATTCATTTTTAGGTCACTGATATTTCTGTCCAGCTGCACAAATTAGGAAGAAGTAGCCCTAATGTGAACTATTAAAGTAGCTCAGCCACAGTCTACCTGCAAACCTCTTGGCTTTTTGGCTCAAAGCTGAAGTGAGACGCGTTTGTTTACCTCTGAGAAGTGCCATGATGCTGGTTCAACGATCCACCGCTGTCAGGAGCAAACTAATCGACCGAGATCTTACTGTGCCACTCTGGATCCTCTCCTGGTGGATATAAAACCTGACACAACTGCGACCTTTATCCCAAATAATGCGGGACGTTAACCTTTTACTCCCCAAGTCAGATTCGCCACAAATGCTAAACTTAAACTCAAACTGGACCATCGATTAATATAGAAAATATTATGAATGTATCTCACATTTTCATTACAGACAGTAATAACGAAATATTCTCAATCTGATTACTTTTATTTAATTTTCTGGAAATATTCGAAAGTGCGTCCGCTAAATTATGAGGGCGTTTGTTTTTGACGTCATCTCCCCCGCGACGTGCCAGCTCTGTCACTCAACCAAGGGGACAAGCGTAGAGACATGTGAACATTTCTGTTATTTTGGACCCAAGTAAATAACACGCAGTAAAAAAAAAAAACATGACTTTGGCTTTTTCGCGCTGTCTCTGCAGGGTTTTATCCCGTCAGACGGCTCCGTCAAGGTGAGTGTTTGTGGTACCTGTGTCTGATAGCTAGTAAAGCGTTAGCTCTCGTAAGCTAATTAGGCTAAGGTTATTCAGTGGAGAGATGCTGTCTTTGATTCGTGCTGTTTGTTCTGTGTTGTTTTGTAGCTTCCTGTTGGGAGAACATCACCATGCCGTACAGAGTCCTTGGTTTGCACCAGTAATGACACTGAAGACGTCTGCTCCTCTAAGGTAAATATTATTCTTGATCAATCGATAAGTTATTTGGTCAACATGAAGTTTCTAGAATCTAAGATGTTTTCCTTAGATGGCTTTTTTTTGTCTGATCAAAAGCCTAGAACCCTTTGAACACATCTGAGAAGTTCAAATAAAAGACTGACAATTACATCGTTTCTCCTTAAATAACCCAATGAACTGATTACCCACATTTGTAAGTTATTCCCCCACAGATAGAATGTTCTTAATCCAGTTTGTACAGCTGACGTATGTTATCAAAACAGACAATATTGATAAAGACACAGAGGTTAAACCTTTGTTTGACAAACAACGTTTAAGTCAACTCAGGACACAAGGCACTGAAATGTAGGTGATGTAATGTTACTGTCGAGTTGAAGGTAAAACGATGCGGGGATGATGACATTTGTTTATCTTCAGATCATTATAACACCCCAAATCCAAGATTTAGTGTCATGTCATTATCAATATACACCCAACAACCACTTCACCTGGTGTAACTCTACAATCTGTTGCAATACAGTGACTCTATTCTAAACTAAACTTTGCTTTCAGGATGTGTTCAGTTTGTCTGCACTGTCATAGGCATGTTAATCAGATGATACGTCTTAGCGCCTGCATCAGTTACTAGTGTGTTGTGTTGAACTGCATTATATTTTGGGGTGTTTTTAACATGTTGCTCCCCTTATGTATGGAAATGGGGAGGACAAAAATAAAAAAAACACCACTCAGTCTAATCTATTCCAGCTCAACACCACCTTTAAAGTCACATAGTTGAATTGACTATGGCACAGAAAACTTATTATCAGCATTGTGAAAGTAGAATTAATGGCAGAACTGTTGTGTTGAATTACAATCCACTAAGAGTATCTAATGAAGTGGCTACTGAGTGTGTATTAGACTGACTTTTTTCCTGCTCTTTCAAGTTATATCCTGTGATTGAATATGCTCACATAGAGCTGTGATTTGTATTGTACAAGAGCGGAGCCGAAAAAGAAGAAGAAGGTGGACCCAAGAAGGGAGCAGATGCAGAAAGATCGGCTAAGGAAAAAGCTGAAGAAGCTGGAGAAGGTTCCACCTGAGTTTATCCCGATAGAGGACTTCGTAACTCCGAGCCAATGCTTGGATGAAATGAGGTACTGCTCACTTCACTGAAGTAATCTTGTTAGATTTGTATTGAAACATTACCCTATCTGCAGTGCTGGGTGTGGTGCAATGGATTCAAAATGTTTGTTGTTATTGTCAATAAATGCCCTGATAATACCAAAGGCCGAATGTCTAAAGCTTGGCAGATAGAGTTCATCAAAAAGATGTGCTAATGAAAAAAGAAAAACATCAGATGACACCAGACTGCAGCTTCAGAAAATGAGCAGCAGTGGAAGCTGTTGAATCAGATCCGTGTGGTTTTCAGTACTTCATGTCTCTGCCCATTGGATCCATACACATTGTTTTACACTCTGTTCAAAATCCTCATGAAAAAGATTTTAATCAGTTTCTTGGAAACTCTCAAAGAAAAATCAAAATTGCCTCGCGTGACTTGTTCTTTTGTCAGGTTTCATTTTCTGTAACACTGAACGGTTTAAGGAAGGATTTAGCAGAAGGCTGTAACAACCTGAGATAAATGAGATCGCAGGAACAGCCTCACTGTTTGTTCAAAACAAAGTCTTTTTGAACTGAGGCTCCCACACATTAAAATGGCATCGGGCGATTGGCTAATCGCTATTCAACATTAAAACTGCTCATTTCAATGTGTTTCATACAGATGCTTTTATGTCATTTGTCTTTGACTCACTGCACATTTGCTCTTTCCTCTGTAGCTTTGAAAGCACTATAAGTCTGTTTTATTATTCTGTTACAAAGGGAACGCTCTTCTCCAAGGCTGTCATTTGAGGAAAGTGAGGGTCGAGCCCTGCTGCTGAAGGAGTGGTCTCGATACAAACAGGTTACCACTTAACTATCACACCTCCATCACCAAAGCTTTTATAGAAAATGTTACGTCTGACCTCTGCTCTCCATTGTGAACACTTAGCGGACTATATTTGTTCTTGCAGAAGCAGCACATGGCAGAAGTGCAGGCTGTTGAACTGGCTTTGGAGGCACAGAGGGAGGCGCTGAAGGAGCTGAAGTTGGAGTCAGAGGAGCTGTACAAAGCGGCGCTGAAGCCAGACATGCTTCTCTTTCCCTTCGTTCATGAAGGTCCTGTTAATACACCGCCGATCCCCAACTATGACGCTCCTGATGGGAAATACAATGACATCACTAAAGTGTACACACAGTGATGGACAGGGAAGCCTTTGTGTATCGTGTCAGTATGTGTCCTTGTTAGTACATCATTCACAAAGCCAAGCCTTGTAAGAGCCTGCAAATGTAGGTGATAAGGAAACTTCTTCCCCTGCATCAGTTTAACGAGGCTTGCTTGTATTCACACTTCTGTATAAAACACTGAAAACTGAAAATAAAAATGTACTTTTTTTTTTTTATTGATCCACTTTGTTCGGAATTATTTTGAACATTCTGTGTTTTGGGTAAATCAATAATTAATTACACTAGGCAGAGAAGTGCTACATGGGTATGAGTTGAAATGATACAGCTCCATTCTGTCAGTGTATCAATAAGATAACTGATCAGAACCATTACTTACAGCATACGGCTGAGGCACAGAGAAAGGCTGACAGGCTTATTAGTCGCAATTCCTCTGTTTGAGGCCAACGTGTTAGCTCTGGTGCAGCTTCAAATTCAATCCATATCAAAATAAAGCATGGCAGATTTCTCATTACATGGATGAATTATATATATTGTCAAAACAAGGATATTCATCCATTAGCCATACCCGTGTTTTTGTTTGAGTCATGGGAAGCTGGAGCCTCTAAATGGATGTCAAATCCAGAACTACTGCATCACTGCGCTGCTCCAGGATATGAATATAAAACTTGTTTTGAGTCAGTCAGTCTCCTGAGTGCAGTCAGCCTCTGTGCTTCAGTTTACACAAGCTTTGGAGAATTAATTATTTACGACTAGCAGTACTGTCTGTGCAGAGATCATATTGTAATCACTGGCTGAATAGATGCTGTCATCCATATCGCTGACCACTAGGTGCTGCCAACAGACCTACTGTACATATCAGTTTACAGACAGCAGCTCACTGAGTACAACCTGTGACGGCAGTGAATGATCACCAGTCTGTCCAGCACACGTCTCTAAAGGCTGCCCGTGAAGTGAAATGCAGCATGGAGCAGCGACAGCAAGGTAAATGTGAAAGTTCATGAGTCCTGAGGTCCTTCCTGGTCCAGAGGCAGGTGCCAGTCTCTAGGAGGCTCCCTCCTCAGTTCCCACACTGGGGTGAAGTTTCTTTGCTCTGCCACTCGCTTCCTCTCACTTTTCTGCAATGCTTCCTGCAACACAGACACAATGTGTATTATTAACTTCATTTAGATAGCCTGAGAGGTGCCACATAGATCATCAGTTAGGTTTTTAAACAAGGTGATTTCCTGCAGCTGCACCTTGGCCTCTGTGCTTCCGTGTTTCTCCCACTCTCTGCAGTGATAGTAGTCTTCTTTCCACTGCTGGCAGGATGGGCTGGTGCCGTAAGTGTAGTAGTGATGGAAATAATTACTTATACTTTTGCAGAGCTTGAACTCACTCCAGTAGTCGTCACACATCCGCGGTGTCTGGATGGACAAAGGCAGGAGTAATCAGAAATCAGAGCACATCATGTCCTGACCCATACTGCTGGGTCCTGGTGAATTATTACACAATGTCTACTGCTGGTTCCATCCAGCATGCGCCACAGGCTGCAGGATGACAGTGATATACATGAGAGTGCTTTAAGAATCAACCTGAGGAGAACTAAACTTGCTGTTTTATCCTTCTGTTAAACTGAAATTCCAACTTCAGTCAAGACTGTCATACTGAAGCTGGCGCTTACTTTCACTTACTTACTGTCAGGACTGTGTGTCTTCACTGACTTCGAACTGGTGAGACGTTAAATAAAATTATCGCAGGGGGAAAATGGCATTGTGAATGTGAAAACAAGTATTTGAATTGTTTCATGCCAGTGTGTGGTGCTTTAAAAATTATTTCACTTAAGCAACATTAGATAAATATTTCATTTATTCCTCATATTGCCATGTATTACTTAATCCTAGGAGACTCAGTAGAAGGGAACTGGACTTCATCCAAGAGGCTTCTCCAGTTTCCATCTACTCCACTTGGTATACACTGTCACCCCGTAATCACACGGTTAAAAGCCTATTAATATGGATTTATTAGGAAATACAACTTGCTACAGAAACTTGCCACAGGGCAGCAGCACCTATGTGTGATTCCAAAATTTAGCAAGTACATTCACATCAATACCTATGTTCTGAATATGTGCATTGTATCCGCATCGCCATGACTAAAATTATCCAGGTTTGTGTTTAGGCACGCCTATGACTCTTCAACATGTCCTCAAGCCTCAAAAAAATGCACCCAAACTGAGTTCTCTTTACAGATCAGCATGAAACTGCTGAGATTTACAGCCATCTGGACTCTTCTACGCTGAAACATGTCTGCCTCCATCTCAACGCCTGTGATATGCAGCAGGAGCAACCAGCAACACTGATTCTCATCTATACATCCCATCCATCATCTATACACCGCTTAATCCTCACTAGGGTTGCGGCTTAGGGCTGACTCAGGGTGAAGGCAGGTTCACCTGGACAGGTAACCAGTCTATCACAGGGCTACACTTAGAGACAGACAACCAAGCACACTCACATTCACACCTACGGACAATTTACAATCACCAATTAACCTCAACATGTTTCTGGACTGTGTGGGAGGAAGCCGGAGAACCCGGAGAGAACCCACACTGCACGGGGAGAACATGGAGACTCCACGCAGGGTGTCCTCACCGGGACGCGAACCGGCGACCTTCTAGCTCTGAGTCAACGGTGCTAACCAAACAAAATGAACTGTGCTTCAACTGTACTTGCATTAGCAGCATTCAGGTTCACATTGAAACTATGCAACACAAATATTTTCTCACATAAAAATCAAGTGCAGTATTTACAAAATTATAAAACTCTAGCAGCTCTGAATGTCCACACATCGGTCCAGAGTCTAACAGTGTTTAACAAGCCCGATTGTTTGAAAGCATCCAGCGTTAGCTAACAGCGCCTCCCTGTGGTCGCTGCTGTTCCGGTGAACCTCAGTTTGCTCAGTAGCTGATCTGGCGTTACATTTATCTACGTGTAGTTTAACAATTTGACACACAAAGCTGAACTCCAAAGCAAATCGTGTATAAAATAAACACCTGACAACCTCTCGGACCTTCTCTGACATTGCTAACTGCTAGCTAAGGTTACTTAGCAGCGACGGCTAATCACCTTGCTAGCTGCTTCGCTAGCATATAGCGTTCTTCAGTCTTTATCGGCACTATTACAAGCACTATACGCGAAATGACAGCAGGATATGTCGGCTTTGTTGTTATTTAGAATAGAATTTAACATTAATTACCCTCCACGTTGTTACTTTTGATCCCTCCATCGCGCTAGCCTCAACACAGCAACTGTACTTCCGGGTCGACTTCTTTTCACAACAAAAGCGCTACCAAACACATCCGCAGCATTTATTTTGAAAATAGTTCACTGGAATAAAAAATGTGAGCACGGGTCTGCACACTGCTTTAACAGTTTATTTAAGATTGAACCCAAGCACATGTTCTGGACAAATATAGACATTTTTTACACATTGGTGGTTTCTATCATCCATTGATAATAAATTATCATCACTTGCCATTTTATGTATTTATACCGTCACACCTAATTATAATGAATTACCCAGTCACTAATCATTTCCTTATGCATTCATAAATGTGTGCATGTGCAGCAAACTCGTCATTTTCCACTCTCGTTTTGGTCGTTCATGTACAACCAACAGCATTACAAAAACTATTTGCTGCTATTTATTTCAAAACACAATCCTTTATTTGTTCATAAATAAACCAGGAAAAAACTGGAAAACCTTGCAAATGATTTCTACATTCCAGGAAAAAAATTCAAACATAATATTATTTTCTTAATCATTAAAAACAAAAGTATTATTGCTCCCATTTTAGAAGGGATTCTGGATAACAGCATGTTCAAATTGAATTGTGAAAATGTAAAAACAACAGAAAAGGGCGGGTTGCTCAAAGTCAAAACTAAATCAAATCTGATATCTTTACAGCAATAATTCACAAGATATTCTTTGTGTTGCTGAAATAATCTATTCTGCCTGGCTCAAATCTGTCACCCTGAACTTGTGAATACTAAATTACAGCTGACAGCTTTTTCTGCAGCTCAGTTTTGTGTTTTTTGAGCAAAACATTGCTGTCAGAGTTTTTTTATAATCCAAAGTCACAGCAAAAACTCCCATTTAAAAGCAACAGAGAGGCAAAATTCCAATGCATCTGAAGACCTTTCTTTTTTTTTTTTTATTTTACTTTGCTGCTGACAAAAGACCTGTGACCTGTGCTCATTAACCAGCCTCTCCATTTGTGGTTCTTCAAGGCTTTCGGCCTTTCTTGCGTAGTGACTGTCCTTGTCCAGAAAAGGCGATGAATCTGTTCATGGCATCATCCTGAGAGGATTAAGGAGACAGAGATTTACACTGGCTGTAATTGGAAAGCTATAGCATTACCCATGAATAAAGGCAACTCTTGTAGACAAGTAAATATAAAGCTATGAATCACACCATTAAAATATTAAAGTCAAATCTACAGAGAAGAAGCTCCATAAGGGACTGAAACACTGACTTAAAATCTTTCACAGTACTTACATCATCTACAATTTTCCTGGGCTGAGGCCTGGAGTTTCTGATGAAAGTGATTCGGCCAACTTTGAAGTCGTAGTTGGGAATGCCTCTGTGTGAGGAAGCAGTAGACATTAAGATTTACACTCAAGACTAAACACCCACAGGATGGTTTGACCCGAAAAGGGAATTTTAGCAGAAACAATAAAGTGAGAAACTGCTCAAAACTGTCTAGAGCCATTATGCAGCTAATGTTGTGTTCTGTTGTGCCGCGTTATATCACACTGCATGTTTACATTCAGCTCAGCAGCCTACCTTGACCTAACCTATGGAAGATCTAGCTCCAGCTGAGAAGTCTGGTCTAAGATAGTAGAACATATGTGGTGTGATTTGCCTGGTGGCTGAGAGCTTAAGGTATCATTACATGTTACTCCTCATCTCTTTACTGTCAACTGTTTATTAAAGACACAAGGAGGGACTTTTACAGAGTTGTCATGTGTGATAACATTTGATTGTACTACCACCTAATGTCTAAATGTGTAAAACACTGAACATCTTTTCACCTTTTGATGTCATTTGCGGTGAGAGGAGCAGGACTGGGCTCAATTCCTTTTGTTTTACCATCCAAGCGATTACCAGAGCCAGTGAAAGCCTGAACATAAACAGATTAGAGGTTACATTATTTCCTTTTGTCCAATGACATTTGTTTATCACCGACAAAGTAATATATACTCACTCTGAATCCCATGTCCATGTCAGCGTAACTGCTGGGATCTCCTTCTTCCTCCTGTCAAGAAATGAGTTTTATCACATTGTACAGATCACAAAATGCACAGGTACAGTCGTTTGTCAGATTGATTCTTACTGTCGGTTCTTCCTGGTGATGACGTCGTCGTTCAGGTTCTTTGTAACCCAAAGGAGCATCAAAATCCACCTGAAAAACAGAAACACAACACAGTTAAAGTGGAAAAAGGGCAACAGATTAGTTTCCGATCGTTTGTGTTAATATGGAGAGTCTTACGTTCATGTCGCACTCGATGATGGATACTGCTTTGTCTGGCTTAGTCTCCATCACTCGTAGCTCATAAATCTGAAACGAACACAAACTATCAGCACTGGTAAGCAGCAAACAGGAAGAAAACAGTTTCAGATACAAGCCCAGCACTAATGTGAACAAGCTGACTCACCTTTTCATTGTAGTTGATCGCTATGACATCACCAGTTGTTAAGCACGCAAAGTTTCTGAGTGCATTCTCCAGCCTGTAGGAACGCAACAACTTAGTTAATTACTTCAGAAACATTATGACAAAAGGTCAAATTAATGCTGATAATTCTTACACAGCCTTGGGGTTTGTGATATCCAGGAAGTCGGGGCTCTGAGGCTGAAACTTTGAGTAAGTGGCAACCATGAGGTTAACGCTCTCCACCTGGACCAGACCACCTTCTTCTAGCAGGAGATTCTGCATCATCTGCAGCAAACAAAATAAACCAGATGTCAGGATATCCTCGACTGTCATCCACAGAACGGCTTTAAAAGTATTTAATCAGCAGAGAACATTTCAGACAATAAAAACATGGAATTGGATTTCATCTGTTTTGAGATCACAGCCATCATATATCTATACACCCTGTTATCCAGTGCTACTATTACCTACATTTTTATTAACATTCATTTTTCAACTATTGCTTTTACTTCTATCTGAATTAAGCATTAACATAAGAAAAAAATGCTTCAGAATACAGCAGACAGTTTGGTGTCTGTGTCCCACTAAAGTCATGAATGTTTCTTACCCAATGTGGCAGATAACAGATTCCCTCGTCTGCCACAAACTCCAGAACACCACAATGTGTCATTCTGTCTGAGTTCTTGTTGGTCAGCTTGAACAGCATTGGATAGGTGATGTTAAGCCTGCCTGTACATGGCAACGGAGAACAAAGATAAGAATCACGAACGGTCCACACAAAACATCTAATATTAAATGTACTTGATTTAACTTGTACTTACTGAGCTGGTCGAGAGCTGACGGCGGCATTATTACTGAAAAAAACAAAAAAATAATGACTCCAGACATAAACACCAAATGTTTTCATTATTATTTTTACAGTCAGTCAAAAGTTTTTCAGAATTCAATCTGAAAAACAAAATGTACAAGCATAAAAGAATTGTTTTTAAGATTATAATTTCAATATAACGTTGAGACTGACAGATAATGTCTGGCTAAAAGTGCTTGATGACTTCATCATATTTGGTCTATGATAATACATATTTAGTTATCTTTAAAAGTCTCAATTATCTCTATTATCTTTTAAAGTCTCTATTATCTATTGCACTGATGACTGCTCAGCAAATATAATTTCACTGCTGTTACTGATAATATAAAAAGACATCACCATATGTACAACTCTACAATTTCATTTAGCTTTTATCCAAAGTACATCTGAGAGCAGATCCAACACAAGCAAGGATCTAGTCAGGAGAAAACAACCTGGATAAGTGCCATAGAACAAGTTCAACTGTGACAGGGCATTGATGCCAATAGCAGGCTGTGTGGGAGGTAATAGGAATTATTTTTTGTTTGTTCTCAGTCTGTCAAGTGCAAGAATGTTCAGTGAAGAGCTGCTCTTTAGTTTTTTCTTCAAGACTGAGAGGGAGTCAGCAGATTGAACAGAGTTTGGTAACTCGTTCTACCACCACGGACCCACAGAGGAGAGTCCAGCTATTGACCTCGGGCCCTGTTCTGGTGATTGTATCAGGAGGTTTTTGTTTGTACATCTACGTGTGTTGGGTGTTTGATTTCGGGAAGCACTGCATCAAAACATAGATTATATGCTTGAAGTGGATAAAAGTAGAAGGACAGAAGACCTGCAGAATGACAAAGAGCGCTGTGGACTGAGTATCTGCTACATTTTCAGTCCAACTGTTCACTCAATTTAACTCTTCACATTGAGGAAAACAAATCAAGAAAATTATCTGACTTTTATCTGTATGTAAACACAAAACATGTGTCCTTGTTTCAGAGGGCTGACCCTACATATGTAACAGCTTAGCCTCAAATCCGAACACATTTCGTTCAAAAACCTTGAATCTGCAGATTGTATGAGACTAGATGAACATTTCTTTGAATAAAACTCACTTTTGCCTCCTTTCTCCACATCGGAGCGGTCGTTTGGACCAGCCAGCATGGACACCGAGTAGCAGCGGTACTGAGTGGAGAAGCGGTTCTGAAAGCCCCGGGCCATCGGGTGGTCGATGAGTTGGAAGGAAAACTGAGGAACAAACATATTGTTAAGACTTACAGACAAAGCTTCAGTAGCTTCGCGTTACGTTGTAACAACACAGCAGGACTTCAACATGACAGCGCATCTTTCTGCTCTGCTTGTTGTTGTTAGCCGCTCGCTAGCTAAACTGCTACAACTACGGTTTGTTTTGATCCCAGTTTGTCGTCAGCGGTGAACAAAGGCGGGGCGCTACTCACCATGTTGACAGTTTAGATGTTCGGCTGTCAAACGACTGGAATTAAAATGTCTGCTTCAGTTTTCTTGATTGAAACTAACACATATGCGCTGTGAAACTCCACTGTTGTCTTCCGCTTCTTCCGGAAATGTACGAGTCGAAAAAAGGAAATGACGACACGGCGGGCGTTAGCCAATCACAGCAGCCTCTCACTCCTGGTTGTTGTGTGCTTTTTTTTGTTGTTGTTTTTTGTAATTTTATGTAATTTAAGTTGTTTTACTTTGTATTTTGTATATTATGAATTTTTAAAAAGCAGCCTCTCACTTCTAATGCCAGTCTTCACGTTAGCAGACGCTGTGTACAAAATACGTCACCTACACAGTTATTAAGATGCATTAACGCACATTTTGATCCCATTCACCACTTTCCCTTTAGCTTCTCATCACACATCAAATATAAAAAATCTGCATGACATTATAGTTAAGGGGAAACTCCAACTGCTGCGCTGCCTTTAAGTTGGAAGTAGTCAATCGAAGGGGCACCAGAAGCTGAGATATCTTGACTTTTTAGTTCATTGCATGACTCAAATTTCTAAAACACTTAATTCTCTTTTAGATATTGTGTGTTTAGGAACATGAAGCAGTTTTTGGATAGGCTATCATATGGACCTTGAGGTCAATAGCAATCAAGGTTGTGCATTTAAATAAAATGCATTAACCTACATTTGAACACACAGTAGGCTATACAGCAGAAACGAGTTCAACCCTGTGCAAAAATATCATTGTACATGCTTTTTAAAATGCTGTTTCTTCTGCATATACCCCTTTGCACTGTGCTTTGTGTGTCCAACATTGCCTACCTGCATTTGTATTAGCAGACCTCAACCTTTCTGTTCTCTATTGCACATAAACCATTGTCTCCTTGACACCTGCTATCTAGTAAACGTCCACATTTTTGTATTTTCAGCTATTTTTAATACAGGCTTTAAACCATGTACGCCTGCGTCCCTGCTCACACTATCGGGGTTATTTCTCAGTAAACCACAGTTCACACAAAGCATGAATAAATCACACAGCAGCCCTTTTTCATGGTCACATCTTTTACAAGTCTTATGAAGACCAAATCAGACATACAGAAAAGACAGCAGCATGTCAATAACAAGTTAAAAGTCATTACGAAGCTTGTTTGAAATATTTTCTGCCTGAAAATAACTTTACAATTCACAGGTACAGTGTATAAAATACAAAACTGAGAAATGGCAGTGTTGAGGGGATTGTAGTTGCACTTTGATAAAACAAGAAAACCCAGCAGAGTCTCAAGAGGCTCTTCCAACGGTGAAGACGTAGACGTTGGCTGAGATGGAACTCAACGTTAAGTCTTTACTCAAATGTCCATTATCTCTGCTTTTCAGCTGCAGGTCTTTATATCGGAGGCCAGCTTTTGGCCACATCTTGGTGCGTGGATTCGGGCAACCACTGGCAGTACGCAGACAACAAAACTGCAGGAGAAGAAAAACACATTAAAAAAAAACAACACAAGTAGACGGTAAGAAGACGAATCAACATGAGTCACACAGTGAACACTCACATTTATCGTCAGTCTTCCAGGCAGACATGAGAGCGTCTCTGTTGTCGACTCTCTGTGACACCAGTGGTCCCAGTAAAGCCTCCGTTCTGGGCTGCAACCTGAAACCGTCAGAGCAAAGTTGTTCATTGAACTTATTTTGTAAAGAGATTTTTAAAAAATAATAATTAAGAAGGTTTAGCATGAAGAGCAGTTTGTGTGGCAGCACTGACTTACTTTGCCCATGTTTTCAGCATGATGGAGGGGTTTGACAGAAGGTGGTCTCTGTGTTTCTGTAGTTTAGGACAAACCTGTTAACCAGACAGAGCCAATATTAGTAGAGCTAAATGTTCCCGTCACGTTTGGTCAGGGGTTGGCGCCTTTTATCTAGCTTCTACATAGTTTGTGCCGCAGCTGAACTTCAGATTTAAATGTTTTTTTTTTCCTGCAGTTTATATTTTTTAGGCGGGAAAAAAAAAAGACATGACATGAAAACTACGGCAGCCTGGAGAGTCCAAACATCAGAGACGGGCCGAGCTGGGTCAGTACGGCTGTTTCTTGATGAATCTGGTGAACATGGCGAAGGCAGCAATGGGTTTATCGGATGGAACCATGTGACCAGAGAACATGTCAGGCAAAAAGTCAAGTAACTGTTAGGACTGACTTGAGGCTAAATCACTGCTGAAGCTACCAATATTTAAGAACAGCAGATTTATTTGGGGCTCTGTCGTTGTTCAGAACAAAACTCTGAGGTTTTGCTGCCGTACCTGTCCCTCAAGAAGAAACCTGGCGAACAGCTTGAAGCGCTCCAGTCCGTCCGGATACTCCATCTCCATTGCAGGCAGCTGCCAAGCCACACGGACTGCAGGAGAGACGCAGCAGTTACTTAAATGTAGGCAGAAACTCATTCCAGCTCCGGAGCTCTGCTGCTGCAGAGAACTTACAGAAGGTGCTTTTGCGGTGACATCTGATGGTGCCGGTGGAGGAGCAGAACCACGGTGACGGCGACTCCTCAGGAGAGTCAAAGTGACAGTACTGAGGCAGAAGCTGAGGAACCCACTCTGCTTCTACTGCTGAAACACCTGGAGGAAAAAAAAGGGGGACACATTTCACCAGGTGAAAGCATCAGTCTGCAAATCCAGCTTCAATAACAGCATCATTAATTTCTTGTCCTGAAATATCCATCCATCCATCCATCCATTATCTATACACCGCTTAATCCTCACTAGGGTCGTGGGGGGCTGGAGTCTATCCCAGCTGACTCAGGGTGAAGGCAGGTTCACCTGGACAGGTAACCAGTCTATCACAGGGCTACACTTAGAGACAGACAACCAAGCACACTCACATTCACACCTACGGACAATTTAGAATCAGCCAGAGAACCCGGAGAGAACCCACGCTGCACGGGCAGGACATGCAAACGAGTTTTAACCGAAGCTTGTTTACCTCTCATGTACATCTTGGTGGTCTCCATCACCTCCTGGTAGACGACAAACTCTGGCAGCGTTTTGAACAGCGCAGAATTAGGATGGATGAACACTGGGTCGTCCATAAGAGGCGTCTACGAGTAAAAACAGATATAAAGGTGAGGAGATGAGCACAGACGCAGCACGTTTTTCTGAAATCACAATTATTAAAGTCACTTACCTTGTATCCATTCGTCCATTTTGGATCCAGTAAATCTTCTGCCTGCACGCGTCTCGCAAGGTGGTCTCCCAGTCCGGCCAGAACGATCTGCCGCAAGCAAACCACCTGGTGCCCCGTTGGTGGAGTCATCTTGGGATCCACAAACACTCCCACCTCTGGACACACTGCGTTCACTGGGACGAGGAAGTTCAAATGATTTTCTGTTGTGTTTCTGCAGCAGCATGTGTTAAAATAACTGTGTGTTTTTTGCATATGTGTACCTGCATTAGTAAGCTGTCCTCTGAGCTTCCTGATCTCCATCATGGCTTTGTATCTCAGTCCATTATCTTCACAGAATTTGGGAGTACAGCCAGCAAATTCACAAGCACCAACAGCACCTGCAGTCACATGCATACAGCAGACACATGGTCAGACTTTATTATTATACTTCATATGAACAAACTGCATTGTTAAAAAGACTCACTTAACATCTCCTAAACCAAGACTTGGTTAAATTATTCAAATTAAGACCCTCCTGATGTTTCAGTGTCACCATGAAATTCAGGTTAATGCTAAAACCTGGAAGATAATATGAATTTTGAAGCCATGTCATGGGGCCTTTAAAGGTCAGCAGACAACCTAAAAGCCTTGTCTACAGTCTGTTGTCCTCTACTGTAGCCTGAACAAAAAGCCATCTTACCCAGCATGACCATAAGGTCCCCCAGCTGGAGTGCAGCTCCTTGTCCAGCCCACAGCCGCCTCATCTGGGTCAGCCGAGCTCGACGCTGGGTGAGCTTGGAGCTCTCATCTTCACTACGTGCAGGTCTGAGGAGAAACAAAAACATGCTACAGTCTTAAAAAAAACAAGTATGCTGCTTTTCAAAGAGCTGTATGTTTTCATGTTACACTGAAGTCAGTTTTAGGCTCATTTAATGTTTGCATTTATGAATTCATGCACTTCTCAAGCATCAGTTTCTATGTTTTCCCACCATTATCAAGTTTGAGCCACATTGCATGTCCCTGTCATCATTTATATTAGAGACAATTTGTCTTCACCTGTCGAGGTCTTCAAAAATCTCCCGGACTGTCATGGCTGCTACGATAGCAATCACGTACGGCAGACAATCCTGCTGCTTCCCGAGCGCTAACATTTTAGCGTAACGGGGCGTCACAGGGAAAGAGGCCATCGCTCTGCCCACGGGGGTGATGGGGCAACTCAGCATCGCATGCTGCATCTGTTTCACCCTTTAAAGAAAAATGACAGAGTGTGGACACAAGATGAGACAAATAAATCAGCTCAGTTTGTATAATCACACTGGAAGGAATTTTTCATAAAAGCCACCTTGAAGAGAGGTTTGAAGCAACGAGAACAGAACCGTAAACCTATTTCTGGTATTTTCAGAGGGCTTAAAAATAAATCACCTGTTCAATAAATTTTTTCATTCTTCTCTCTGTTTTAACAAATATTTATGTAATCCATAAAGACACCTGGGTCAGTTCAGTTAAGAAAGATGCAGACAGTTACCTTCCAGTGCGAGGCGGCTCTTCCAGAGCTCCCAGTGACACCAGTAACTGCTCTGCTGCAACCAGAGCCTCAGTAGAGGGAGGCGTGGGGAAGGGGAAATTCACCACCTGCACAAACACAACATATGAGGCTATGTTAATGAGATCATTTCTCCTACACATCTGCCTTTCAGTGGCTCACTTGCTACTGACTTTGTCTATGTTGAGGTCTTTCATCTGTAGAACCAGGTCTTCCACGGGCCGGCGAGTGATTTCTGCCTCCGAGAACAAACTGAAGTCTCCAAACACTGCAGAAGAGTACAACCTGGGAACACAGAGACAAACACATGTGAGAACCAAGTAAATGAAACACCAATGTCATGAGAGTGTAACTCGGTTTAGTAGCTCTCACCTGTAGCAGTGTCCCGGCTCTGTTCGTCCAGCTCTACCCGCCCTCTGATTGGCTGAGGCCTGTGAGGTCCACGTGACCTTGAAGGACGACACTCCGGTCACTCGGTCGTAGAAACGCTTCTTGACTCGACCGCAGTCGACCACGTACTTGATGCCGGGGATGGTCAGAGACGTCTCGGCCACATTGGTGGCTACGACACACAGACGAGTGCCAGGTGGAGGCGGCCTGAACACCTGCAGTCAGGAAACACACACACAAGGTGTTGCAATAACAGTTAACACAGAGCACCACATGACTTCTCGGTTACTGGACAAAGTCTGACAGTATTTTCCGACATTTTGTACAGAATATCCAGTTTGAGTCACAGCCTTTGAGCTCATTATTACAGATTAAATGCAGCTCCTTGTTAATAATCCTGATCTACATAACTGATTTCACACAACAGCTAAACTCACCTGGTAGCTCGTGTTGTTAAACTACCAGCTGCTGGTAATAAAATGAAAAACCACAGCATCACACTAAATTAAGAAAATGTTTATATTCTTGTATTTTGTAGATGAAAACCTTTTCATGTTGAGTTTTAATAATTAATAAATGTGAAACAGCCGTTTGCTCCACTGAAAACCAAACGCCCAGAGTATCACCAAACATCAAATAAAACTGTCTTTCATCACTTTAACCAATGCTACACTCATATATTTCCTGTTCCCACATCACATTAAAACAAACATCTGGTCAAGAAGTAACATGTACTTAAAGTGCTGGTTCATTAATAGTTAATTCATTTAGTTTGTGCATTAAGTTGTTTAAAACGGAGCCAGAAGCCCGAATAGTTTCATTTTAATCAATAAGTTGGAGTGCTTTAGGCTAAAAAATGAGGAACAAGAAGGAAATTACAATTATCTGAAGTCTATTCTGTAATAAAATGCAGTTTTTCTCTTCAGCTATTCACTGTGTTACTGGTTCAGCGTATGAAGTTAAACACAACAAACACAAATTATACGCTATTGAACAAAATCAGGAAACGGTAAGCAACACTTTTTGGACACATCATGAGGAAAGAGACCCTGAAATATATCGTCACCACAGGAACAATTAATGGGAAGAGAGGACGAGGCAGACAGAGAATGAAAATGATAGACGGACCGACATCATGGCTGCACATAGAACAGGCAGCAGTCACGATTCAGAAAGCAAAAGATGGGATTAGATGGAGAGAAATGATCGCCTACGCTGAATGGAACGGCACTTGATTGAAATCCTAATGCTTCACTTTTTCCTGGACACCAAAACAATATGTGAACCTTTCCACTGTACATCTAGTTTTTTCCAAACTTTTTTTTTTGTTGTTGTTGACGCAAAACAATCCCACCTCTCTTTTGGATTCATTTTTATCAGTTCTGTGTCGACACAAGATGTTCATCGTACCTTAGCCTGCTGCTCAGGAGCCAACAGAGAGTACAGCGGCAGGACGTAGAGAGGGATGGACGGGTCAGCCTTCTCCTCTACAGAGACAAAACACAGAGAAAAAAAATGTATAGAGAGCTGAAATAGATCCATGTAAGAGGGGTTTATTTAGAGCAGCTTGCCTGAATCATCGGGATCGTCTCCGATGTCGAGGTCCGAGCCGCCGTCCTCCTCGTCTCCGATCCCGGCCTCTCTGTCTTCATCACCTTCATCCACCGGCAGAGCAGAGTAGTTATCCAGGTCGATTCTGGGCAGAGACTGAAACAAAGAGTTTTAAAATATTTACACAAGAAATACGTGCTGTGGATGCAAGTCGCGTTAATAACATACGAATAGGGCTGAAGAGGCCTTTTACTAAAGCAGACTTACGACCGTCTTCTTCTTCTGTTTGGCCTTCTTGAACTTCCTCATCGCCTCTGACGTGTCTCCTTCCTCATCTTCAGCTGGACACAAAAAACAAGTAAATACACAGAAACACACTCTCTGCTCAGAGATACATCAGAGTGTGAGGAGGCTCCTCGCTCACCACTGGTCGTGTTACTCTTCCTGAAGGGGAAAGCGTTTCTCAGTCGCCTGCAGAGATTGTGAACCTCAGCCTGACCGGTCAGAAACACCAGGATACCACCTGGAACAAACAAATACGGCATTAGGGAGCGTGAGGGAAGGTTTGTTCTGCTGACTTACTGCAAATTACTCTGTATAACACATGTTAATAACAAAAAGCACCTGGAGGCAGCATCCGGTGGATTTTGCAGGTCTTGTGAAAGGCCTCTCCGGTGTAATCGTCCAGCGGGGTGCGCTTGTTGAAATGGATGGTGACGGGGAACTGCCGAGAGTCCACCTTGATGACTGGTGGAGGCTTCCTGAACAGCCTCTGGTTGTCTGTGAAGTCCTCGACCCGCAGAGTAGCCGACATGATCAGCAGCCTCATGGGCATGCCTTTCTGCAGGGAGATGGAGGGGAGCCAGGTTAACCAAACACAACCAAAAACATTAGAGACAGAAAACACAGCGGTCGTCTCTCCCACCTTGTTTCTGAGCGGGACGATACGAGACAACAGTCCGATGAGGATGTCTGTGTAGACGCTCCGTTCATGCGCTTCATCGATGATGATCACGCTGTATCTGGTCAGCAGGAAGTCCTGAAAGAAGCACAAAGACACAACCGCGTCCATTATTAGTAAAGAAAAGGTGTTTAGCTACAGTTTTCAGTTAAGTTCAGCATCACGATGGTCATTCAAGCTGTAATTTTTGAAGCTAATTTAGTTTTGGAATCAATAACAATGTGATAGTGTTGATAATCTGTTGTTCTTCTATTTAATTGACTGATATATGCTTGGATCAAAAGCAAAGTTAGTTTCTGAAAACGACCTCTGACATCAACAGACTCAACATGAAACACATCGAGCTCTCCCAGCTTGGCCCTCTGACTCTGTTTGTTGCTCATGTATGTCAGCTCTCATGAAGGGAAGCCACCTGGATGTTTGAGAAACACCAACAGGCCGAGTTTTGTCATCATGTTTATTGTATTCTATACCTTCTGAATCTCCTTCAGCAGAACACCGTCCGTCATGAACTTGATCTTCGTGTCGCTCGTCACGTTTCCTTCGTATCGGATCTGGTACGACACCACCCTAAACACAGACACACAAACATTAAATGTGCTTCTATGAGTCTGTTAATACTGACGTCACTTAATGGTTAACATTTCTGCAGAGTGTAAGCTTTAGTTACTGTGTGGGCAGGTTCATCTCTTTGGCCACTCTGTGGGACATGCTGACGGCCGCCACCCTCCTCGGCTCTGTGATGCCAACGATCTGACCGTCACTGGAGGAAACAAGAGATGACAGTAACTAACATGAGTGTGTATCTCTGTGAGTTTTTCTCTCAGTAAATGCCCAGTGAAACATTTCAGGACAACACCTTCAACAGGATAAGCTACCTGGCATATCCGGCTTCATACAGGAACTGAGGCACTTGGGTGGTCTTTCCACTTCCCGTCTCTCCACAGATGACGACACAGGGGTTTTCTCTCACTGCCTCCATGATGACCTGCTCCTCCGCCAACACCGGCAGCTTCAGACGAGCCTCCTGCAGCAACACGTGAAAATACACTTCAAGCAAAAAGACAAAAACACCCTAATAAGTTCAATATGTGTAGTTTTCTGGTTTGTTTCTGCAGTTATACACACTCGGACACACACCTGTATTTCTGGTGATCTGTCGACAGGAATGAAGACAGCCGGCTGCGATGGCTTCTTGTTTGGGACTTCTGTCTGATCTAAAACCTTCTTCTCTTTCTGTTCATCTTGCTGTGCAGCTTTCTGCTCTTCCTTCACCTCCTCTTTGGTCTCCATTTCTTTAGGTTCACTTATCTCTGCAGTATTATTCACATTGTCTTCCTCTTCTTCATCAGACGATGTGTCCAGATCACTGCTGTCTTCAGCCTTTTGCTCGTCTTCATCGTCCTCCTCCTCTTCTTTCCATTTTCTCTTCCTGTTCGCTCCACTGAGGCTGCTGATGTTTGGACCTGAGTCTCCATCTTTTGCTTCCTCTGATGACCTGAAAAAAAACAAAACATTTATTCCACCGTATCCACTGAGAAACAGATAAAACAACTCATTTGTCTTGACTAATACGTTGTGTTGTGTCCTTACTGTTTGCTCTGGTAAAGCTTGTCTCCTGTTCCCAGTTTGGATGTCGTGTAGAGCAGCTTCAGCTCAGATTCTGGAAGTTGCACCGCGGCCAGTTTGGTCAGGATGTCTGCTCTCTGGACAGAAGAGAAGTAAACATGTAAATGGGATGTAAATAGTCTGGGCAAAATGAGTTAACATTTATGTCCAAAAACCTCAGCAGAGCAGGTATAACAGCTGGGTGTCATTACCAAAACTACCAGTAACAGCATCAATTATGACATCTGAGTTTCTGTACTGACAGTAAAACAACACTTGTTCGGGTTTTTTCCCCCTGATATCTTAATTCCTCTCGAACTCTAATTTCCTGCCTTCTCACTGAGTGAGTCTACAAGGAAGGCACATAAATGTCTGATCTTTATTTAACCGTGTTTTCATGGAGCAAAAGAAACCAAAGTTTCAACACAAGCAAAAACAAAAATATCAATAAAGAGTCTAAAATTGGCCAGAATGTCTATTTGAACCAGCAGCTGCTCCTCCAGAGAACGAAAAAATAAGCTGACCTGAGCATCAGAGCAAACTTCTGATTTCATATTACAGTCAGCACTACACTATAATGCTCAGCTCCCTGTAAGATCCAGGATAGAATTTAAAATCCTGCTGTTAACATATAAAACTCTTAACGACGGAACTCCATTTAACCCTAAAAACCTCACTGTACCAAGCAGAGCCCTTCGCTCTCAGACTGCAGGTCTACTGGTGGTTCCCAGAAAAATTAACATGTTTACAAAAATGCATGACCTGGATTAAAGCTGTGTCGCTCAGGTTAGACAGATTGGACGTGTTTTTGTCCGAAGCAGCAGCATCAAACCGTCTCTCACCTGAGATTTCTTCTCTTTGCGCTCCAGGACCTTCTGCAGCTCTTTTCTCTGCTTCTTGGTGAGCGGCTTTTTGCTGGAAACTGGCGTCAGCGAGGATTTCTTCTTCTTGGCTTTGTTGGCTGGAAGGACCAAAGCATTGCTCTCGTCCACACCTTTCAGTCTGTCCGCATCTGATGACAACAAAGAGAGGTCAGGGGTCAAACAGACAGTAAAAGGTCGAATATTTTCACCACTTTATTGCTTATTTCTCCTGTTAAATCCTACCTTGTAGCTCCACCACAATCTCTGTCTTCTCTTCACTGGCTGGTTGTTGAGCATCACTTTGTTGTCTCCCCTTCCAGTTGTGTTTCTTCCTTAGTTTTCCCATTTTAAACCGAAGTCTGGAAATTAATGAATAACAAACTGTGTATATAAAACCACCAACTGCTGACTTGTAATGTAGGACTGACACTTTGTCAGGCTAACAGCGATGTAGCCGAAGCTAACTAGCTAATGCTATAAGTACAGTAACATCGCAATTTACACAAACGACTTAATATTTATGAACATCTTGAACTATAAACTTTTTTATTTTACCTGGACGAACAACAGCATGTGAGATTTAAACACTTGACTTAAGAAACTGCAGCTCTGCTCAGATCTCACGTGTAAACATACGAGAGTCCATCGGCTAAAACTGTCCGACGCTGAAATGTGACTCTGTAGAAAGGTTCCGCCCCGAATAAACGGAATCCTAAACTTAGACGTTGCTTCGTTTATCAATAATATTTTATTTACAAATGTGCCTCATAAGCTGTGCAACTGTTAAAACAACAACAACAGCAACAACAACAACAACAACAACAAACGCATAGTGTATTTTAGATAATAGATCTCAACTCAACTACAAGAAATTTTAGGGGAAGAAAATCACATTTTCTTTTCAATTAAATGCCTTTATTCATTTAATCTCTGATGCAAAAAATATGTTAAAATGTATTTCAATAAGAAAAATTATCATACAATGCGAGTGTATTTTAACTAGTTAACCATTTGTTTTGTGTTTAAAAGTGCAGAAAACAAATGTCTAAAATTTTCTCAACATAAATCGAAATTATCTGTTTTGTCTTTTTTAACAACAAATTGTGCAACGTTTAAATAGAAAATGGTAAATTAGTATGACTGAAAGCTACATTAACATATGGTGCAATTAGAAAATCATACAAAGTTCAGAAAACAGATAAAAAACAACCTGTCAGCAGTTCATCCAGACTTCAGTTTTAATATTTCAATGACTTACATCCATAAAATAAAGCAACTCAAGGTGATCAACACCGGTGGAGGATCATAAACTTTACAAACACGTGTTTTTATATTTAATGTAGGTAATTTTTCAACCAAAAGAGACTTTGGTAGCATTGAAATCTGACATTTATCAACACAGATTCAGATTTAGTTTACAGTTTTTAAGACAGAAAACTGGATTTTCTTTTTCAGATTATGATTATATGTATTTAATATGTGATATTACATGATTCTAAATATTTGTTGAGAACAAGTGGATTTACATTGTTATCCACACAGATATAAAACTTGCAGCATTGACCTGATAAGCAACAGAGCGCATGTTTACATGGTTTATCAACCACCAGACCGACATGTCTGTAAAATGTTCCGCTCATTAAATATCATGTGGTTCAATAATCAAATGGATTCTTATTAAAATGTTATAATAACATCTTCACGTGCTTTGATACAGGAAATTTTATTGTCAAATAAATGTAATTCAGCATTGGTCAGGCTCTAGAGCAGACAGTTTTGAATCTTTGTTTTAAACCATCCTACTGTGGTCTATGGTAGTCTATGGTGGTCTACGGTGGTCTGTGGTGGTCTATGGTGGTCTACAGGGTCACAAATTAAAGAAAAAAACAATATAAAGTTCCTAAGAAAGGTCTTCAGCCTGTTGGAACAGTTCGTCCAAAGTCTCCCACATGTGCTCAACTTGAATTGAGTTTAAATCTGGTTTACAATTTATATAATTTGTATTTACAATCATCCTCAAATGTATTCATCGCGTTCCATTAAAGAAAAGGCAAAATTCACAACAGTCACTCAAATAATTAGAAACTGACAAAAGTGATAATAAATAAAAATTTGCTAAATTAGAATTTAGTGAAATAAGATGTTGGTTTTAAATTGTGGTTGAAAAGAATAATTTAAAAAAAACAAAAAAAAACCAGTCACAGACAAATTAGAGCCCTTTGCTCTAGCAGTGAAATTCAAGTTAATCCAGAGTTACAGGAAACACCTGATGCAAAGGGTTGTTCAACAAAATATTAGTTTACGGGTCCCATCATGCTGGTTTGCTTTTTAAAAATATACATTT